CCCCGCCCCCACTCGTTCCCGCCCTTTGCACGTAGGCAGAACTTAGGGATGTTACAACTGTCACAATATGTAACCGCTGAAATTTTTAGTGCTTACGTGTTTACATGCGGGGGCAGGTGAGAGCTGATGCTTGTGGGAAGCTGCCCCCCCCCCCTGCCATTGTCTGTGCTGCTGCTTCTGTATTAAAGACAGTGTGTGGGGAGCCAGCGAGGAGACCAGCTTGAAAGCTCCCTATGCTGCTGCCTTTGTGAGAGGCAGCTCCAGCCACATGCCTGTATCAGAGGCAGCAGAATGGGTGGAATTCAGGAGGCCCCTGCCTTCCCCTTTGCTGTATAAAGGTGGGTTGGAGGTTCCATGCAACTGTGTGGGTTAACTGATAAGTAGGCTCAATCAGTTAACTGAGTACATGTTAACATCCCTATTCTGTGTGGGTACAAAATGTGTATCTGTAATTATAAAAATGAGCCATGGATAGCTATGGATTTACAGGACTGTACAGATAGTTTCCCTTTTGTTTAGGAGTCCATGTTGGTACGCTGAGCAAACTTTAATCCTGCTTGGAACAGTTGCTCTAGGACTGTGCTTTGTAACACTTGTTGACATTTGCATTTGTCATAGCAAAAAATAGTACAGAAATTGACTAATGCAGCAGTGTATATGCTGTCCTGCAGGGCTGTGCAAGAAAGCTCTATGGTTAAAATGGCCATCAGAGCTTTCTTGTGCAAGTGAGCGTCTCCACTGGCATGGATTCAGAGCTTTCTTGCGCAAGTGAGCATCTCCACTGGCATGGATTCTCTTGTGTAAACACATATGCCAGTGTAGACGCTCACTTGCACAACTACTTTAACACAAGAACTCTTGCGCTAAAGAGTTTTTTGCATAAGATCATGCCAGTGTAGACTTAGTCCTGGAGTGTAAGTATTGAAACATGTTGTCTCAAATATGTTTGGTTTTAATTACCTTGGGGATGGGGGAAGACAGCCAAAGCCATTTTTTAAGCCTTGTTTTGGTTTAGTGAAGCCTTAGGCACAAGCTATTGAAAGCCCTGCCCCTTCCCACTGATCCCATCTTGGAGTTGAATCTGCTCAGTACCATTTAGGATTCAGCCCTGAAGTAGTAATGGATATCTAGGTAACCTAGCATTCTCAAGCACAATAGGACATAAATATCTCATGGTTGCTCTGGTGTACAGCATTGTTTTAGGAAGTTCCTTCTCAGGAAGTTTTGGTTCATGCTGTGTAATTTCAGATGAACTGAGCAAGAGCTAGGGCGTGTGAAGCATTCTTTTCCTTATCTTCAAAGTGATCAATACAGGAGGTGAGCAGGAGTTGGTTGGTACTCTGTAATGGCAGTTAGACAGGTCAAGAATTGTCTGTCTGAAGAACTAGAACTAAAACTTACTGCACTATTTGTTGTGCATGCCTGACACTTTTCTGCTTCCCAGTTAATAATCTTGAAGGATTTATAAGCTGTATTGGCTCCAAGTGTTCCTTCTTAGTTAATGAGCTTTTCCACATTCCCCTGTTTTGTGGGTGGCTATTGGGCTTTTGGAGTCTTGCTGCAGTTAAGTAGTTGAGTAAAATTCTTGCTATGATAATCTGACTGAGAAATTCTTCTGAGCTGAGTTCTCTTGAGGCCTTCTGTATTTAAAACTCATGCTAAGGCTAGAGGAAGAGGCATCAGTGGAATGAATTAATAGGGGATGCCTTCTGTGTGTTGTAGGAAGAGCTGCTGCATAGATCTCTAGTGTGCATGGGGAGGCACATAGGAAAATGAATATGTTGGCCGACCGTTTTATCACATGGATCTATGACCCTAATATCCTGCAGAAGCCGTGAGTAATGTAAAAGAGCCTTTGCTGCAGGTGCTATCCCAAACCACATGATGGAGTACAAGTTGTGGAAGGGGAAGACTTGCATTAGCTGTTATGGATGTGTTACCAGCTCATGATTTTACTGCAAGTTTTGCAATATTTGGGGTTTACTTTGAAGTGCCTGCTCCTGGTAACAGTGACTAGAAGAGAACCTCAGCTTTCATTTAAAAAGAGAAGGACACTTCTAACTTTCAGATGGTCTAAAAATGTGACCAAAGTGAACCCTAGGTACTCAAGCCATGTCTATGCCAGAAAAATATAGCTGTACCACAAACTTGTACAGTATATACACCGCTGATATTGATGAGTACTTTTTGTCAGCATAGCTTTTGCTTGTTTTTAGTGAAAAATGTTATACCACCAAAAGCAGTCTTCAACCTATATAATTGCATATATATTAGAGCATTGCTATTATAGAAATGTTGCAAACCCCCCTACCCCAAAGTCCTATCTTTTAGTGGGTATCGTTGTATTGGCAAAAGTTTCTAGTTTAGATGTCTTCAAATAGTTGGAGCTGGCTGTATTGCTACCGTAATTTTACCTGCATATAGCTTGCTTCCTTGGCCTTTCTGTGGTTAATGTGACTTACACTCCTAAAATATTTTACTGAATATACTCAGTGTTGCATTTGCAAATATTCATGACAGGTATTTTTCCCACAGTTTCGTAAAGCATGTACAGCTCTTCTCGTGAAGAATGCTTGTGGGGAAAAATTGAATTTTTGAAGTCAGACTTTTTTAGCTATTTCGAATAGGAGTATTTTTGTTTTCTGTAATTATTATAAATAAGGAAAAACTTTCACTTCAGAAGAGCTGGAAAATTTTAGCAAAATCCTTTCAGAAGTTTCACTTTCACCAGAGACCAAATGAAGAAAAATTCCAGCTCAAATGATGCAAGATGTGGAAAGTTCAGATCACATGGAATTTGTTTTTCAGTCTTTGTGTAATCCATAATTATATATGTCAAATTAATCTTTGTCTTCAGAAGAATGAGTTGGCACAAACTGATTAGAAATTAGATTAGTCATCTCTCAAAACTATAGCAGTCAGCCATTCCTTTTGGAAGATAAGCCCCATCCTGAATTGTCATAATGTGAAACTTTTGCAGAGCAGCAACTAATTTTCATAGAGATATTGTCACAAAGGTGGAAGAGCGAAGTAAAATAATCGTGCTATATCAACTTGTTGCATGTCATACACTCAGTTTTTGCAGCTTTGGAGCGGCCTTAGGGATTCTGGTAATTATAAACTATACTGTGGCACTTTTTTGGCCTTGTTGTTAGTCTGCTATAGGGATGTAAAAGGTTAACCAGATACCTGGTAAGCATCACCCTTACCAGGTAAGTGGTGGCCCAGCCAGGCTTGAGCAGCCCCCTTCCCATGGCACAGTGTAGTAAGCTTGGCCTGAGCAGTCCCCGGGTGTGTTGGGCTCAGCACACTCTGGCTGGAGCAGCTGGCATAGCTGAGCTGGAGCAGCCCCACTGGGGTGTGTCATGGATATGGGTCTGCTTCAGCCCACTGGTGCCTGCCACATCAGGGCCCCTACCCACAGGATCCCAGTTAATCCGTTAAACATAACATCTCTCATCTGCTGCCTATTTTTCACTGTGCTCATTTGAAATTTAAGTTCCTTTGCAAACCTCTCCAGGGTTTGACTAAGTGCCTCTTTTTGTTTTTTGTTTTTGTTTTTCCCATGCTTGAGTGGTTTCTAAACCCCTGCCTTAAAGGGAGTGTTGTACACCTCACTTGCATCCCTTTACAAAATCATGAGTTTTTTATTTCTTTGTATAAAATATGCATTGTGAAAGCCTGTAATCTATTCATCTAGTTTCACGTCTCATGAGTGATATACGAAAGCCAATGTGGGGAGGATTTTATTCTCAGTATTCTAAATGTGTCCATTCCATATTTATTTTCAACTTCGGTTTCAGTGAACTTTACTTCACTGCTAAAACACTGAACCCCACCTTGATTTAGCACAGGGCTACTCGCAGCCCTCGGCATGTGCTGTAACTTAAGAATGGCTGCATATCCAGGCAGATATATGCAATTCGCTTATTTCATACTGACAGGTATCAATACTAAGATTAAGGCAAGGCTACATAATGCACAGGCCCCATTTAAGTCAGGTCTGCTGATATTAATAAAATGCAATATTTATCCAATTTCTACCCATATGACAGCACTTTTAATTAGCAATGACAGTCCAGGAATTTAACTACTAAAACTCATATCAAGACCAGGCCATTATATTGACTACTTTTTTGTTTTGGCTCCCACCCCTGGGCCGCATGTTGAGACCTGCATAAACCCAAACTGCACCGTGGGCTGCAAACAGGCCTGCCCACAGGCCACATGTCTAGTAGCCCTGAATTAGCATATGAATACTGTGAATTGTTATTGTGGTCATTAGGTAATTTTATAGTATTT